CCTCACGATCTGGCTCTGGAAGTAGTCGAGGACCAGGGGCAGGTAGACGTTGAGCACTTCGCGGCACCGGGGCACTAGCAGCTTCAGGGGGAGCATGTCGCACTCCTGCTCCAGGAACTTGCGCATCGCGTCCTGGGGGATAGGGTGGGGCAGGTGGTCAGCCCGGCCGCTCTGAGGTCTGCCTGGCCTGGTCCCTGGACAGAGGCCCCGCTGGAGCAGGGCAGCCCACCCTTCCACCAGGCGCTGTCCTGGGAGGGCCCCGAGGACTCAGGTGGGGCACAGGCAGGCTGTCCTCAGGGGACACCGCCTCTGGCGGTGCTGCGAGTCAGTCCCAGGTCTGCTCTTGGCCAGGAGGCCCCGGAGGCCTCAGCCTAACTGCAGGCCTCAGCTGCACCCTGGAAGCGACTCCTGCAGGGCTCACCCCTCGTCCTGCTCTGCCCTCATCGCTTGGACACCAAGTATAACTCAGGACCTGGGCCCCTCACCTGGAAAACGGCCTCCTTGGTCATCTTGGTGAGAGTGCGGACGATGTCCTCACACTCTTGGCACAGGTCATCCTGGGGAGAGGCCCCGAGGCGGGGCAGGTGAGTGGGGGCACGCTCCGGCTCCAGCGGGCAAGGCTCTTTCAGGCAGAGACTGACCGAACCCTGACAGAAGGCACGCAGCCGCCCCTCCCTTCCTGCCCCTCCCGGCCTCCCGGCCTCCCGGCCTCCCACCCACCTCACGGGGTTCCCACCCAGAGTCCCTCCAGCACCGTCCAGCCCAGACCCCAGGTTCCTGCACGTCCTGGTGGTACTCACGGCTCCCACATGTCCCCAGACTTCCTGTAGGCAGTGCCCGAGGGCTCTGCACTGCAAAGCTTGCTCCAGGCTTTGGCACCAGAACTCGGGGCCCCGGGCACAGGCCAGGGGTGAGGCTGTCCAGACAGCTGCAGCTGGGGCCAGAGCAACCTTTGTCAGGATCCAGGCTACCCTTGGCACCCTGACTTCACCCAGTTTTCCTGGGTGTGCACAGCCATGAGACACGCTGCGGTCGGACAGCCTGGGCCCCACCTGTTTTGTGCCCGGCAGCCCCGTGACCTCGGGCAAAACCTGGAGTCCCTGAGTCTCGGCTGCCTCGTCTTTAAAACGAGAGCAACGCCTGGGACGAGCCATGCTGATCGTGGTGGGGATGCCCGCTGGGCTCCATCGCACCTGGGCCCGGTGGAGGGAAGAGGAGAGGCGGAGAGGCCGGGAGACTCACCTGCACCTGGGCCACAGAGCGTGGGCAGCCCCAGCAGCCACAGCAGCAGGTGTGACTTGGCCATGACACCTCTGCAGCCAGGGAGTCTGCCTGCGGCAGGGGCCCTTATAGCTGGGGGCAGGGGCAGGGGCAGGGCCCTGTGGGAGCAGCAGGGACCTCGTATTTGCCTTTGCCCTGGAGAGCCCTCCAGGTGCTTCGATCCCGCCTCTTCTCAGCAGGGACACTCCTGGCCCCTCCCTCCTGGCTGAAGACCTGTCTCTAAGGCTCACCCCCCTGTCCTGACTCTCAAGGGCCTGACTCCTGGCTCCTCCAACCAGGGGGCTTTCATTATGTTCGGGTTTTTTAGCAACAGCTATCCACCTCCTTGCCTGGGCCCATCTCCCCCAGCTGTGGAGAGAAGCTGGGGTGAGGTGGGGCCAGCCAGGGTGACCCCCTCTCGCCCACCCTCACCCCAGGCTTCCTGGGCATCCTCCACTCTGGTGCAATGCTCTCAAGAGCTTCCTGCCCGACTCTTGACCCACGGTGCACACAGAGGGCAAACCCAGATCCTCCCTGGGCACTGGCTTTCCACCCTCCCTCACCCTGTCCCCCAGGAACGTCCTCTGGCTCTGTGGGCACCGGTTGGCAAAGTTGAGAGAGCATTCCCAGACGCCTGAGGCAAGGATGCGGTAGCTGGGATTCCTGTGGCCCCCAAGTGGCTCTCAGACAGCCCTGGCCAGAGGACACTGCCCTCAACTCCTGGGGATCTCTCCAGGGCAGGGGCAGGGGCACAGCCGATGGTTCGGGAGAAACTGTCCTCGGTGCCTGCAGAGGCTGTCATGGCAGGCCCTCGCTGGGCAGGTGCAGAGCAGCAGAGGTTCACGGCCTGACACTGGGCAGAAGCTATTGGCTGTGGAGGGGCCATCAGCTCATTGCCACCCCCTGGCACTGATGATCGGACTGTCCGCTACTGCCCCATGTCAGCTCCCTACTGGGGGCGTCCAGGCCGCTATGCTCCCGGAAGCACCAAGGCTCACGGGCCAGGTGGGACAGGAATTAGCTCCATGATGAAAACAGTTGGACCCGAGGTGGCCAGGTGCCAGCTGAACATTGCACCCAAGGATTCACGTA